GCTCCTGGCTCTGCACACAGGACTCACTCCTGGCGGTGCTTGGGGGACATTATGGGATGCCAGGGATTGAACCCAGGTCAGCCACATGCAAGACAAACACCCTACCTGCTGTACTATCATTCCGGCCCCCCCGCCCCGAGTTATCTTTTAACAAAAGAGTGGTCTGTACTATTTTATTTACAAAATCCGTTCCCCTTCCTGGAAGTCATGACTGTTCTATATTAATTTCTAAAAATTTTATATTTTTAAACTTTTCTATGCAAATAATTTAATCCACTAAGAATTGACTTTTGAGTATGATACAAAGTAGAGATCAATTCATTTTTTTTTTTTTTTGCCTCTGTGAGGAATTACCGAAGCTCTACTTTTTAAACCCATTCTCCTCACAGAAGTACAATAACCATCTTCTAAAAATCAAGATATAAATGTTTCATTCCCAAGTCTGGCTCTTTCCTGGTCACTAACCTATTGAATCTTGGTACCAACTCCACATGGCTTGACCACCATATCTTTACAGTAAATCTTGTAGTCTAATGGTGCCAATGCCATTCACACATCTTCCCCTCCCCAACCAACACCCCAAATGTCTTGAATACCCTTGATTCTCCACACTTTTACTTTAGGATCTTCCTGTCAAGTAACAACTGATACTCCCCACCCCCTGAAATTGATTATTTTATTAAACAATTTAGATGCTATCTTTACATTTATTTTGGACAATAAAGTTGGTTTTGTGCTTGGGTCACATCCAGCTGGCTCTGTGCTCATGGGATCTGTGCTTGTGTTCAGGGGATCATTCCTGGTGGGGTTCAAGGGACCATATGGGGTGCTGGGGACTGAACATGGGTTGGGTGCGTGTAAGGCAAGCACTCTTCCTGCTGTACGTACGATCTCTTCGGCCCTAAAGCCTTTTTACTTTTTAAATGATCATTTTCTTAACTGAAGTCTTAGATTGCTTTTATTGTTAGGTACTTGATTTCTTGGGTAACTAAATTAGCTTAATTGCATTAAAAATGTTATTACTGCACAAACATGTATTTGATATTTGATGCTGCTTTTGTTCCTGCAACCTTGATAAAAACTTTTAAGTCTTCAAATTTGCATTGTAGATATTCAGAGAATTTCATCAACCAATAACTGCAACGTGAGTCATTAATTTTTTAACATTGGCGATGCATTCCTGAGATAAGTCACCATTTATAAGCCATCAGTTTTATACTTGAAATGTTAGATATGCAAAAATCAAAATATGCCCCTTCTCTTATTACAGCATAGCTACTATATACATGGAATATACTTGACTCCCATAGAGTTCTTTAAATCTTTCATGCTCTTAGTAATCATGACTGTCTTCTGTGTGATTAATTAGTAAAGAGGGCATTAGAGACACCTATCAAAATGAAGGATGAATCTGTTTCTCCTTGGCTATTTTTTCTTTATTACATTTTGAAGTGTGATAGCTTAGAATTATATTCTTTGGGAATATTAAGCCCTTTCCCATATGTTGATGCTATTGCTAATAATTTGGGGGAGGGAAAAAGCTTTAATACGGGAAATTTAAGACACCCAAACAGAACCTACCCATGTAACATACAACTAGTTAAGCTGACCCTCAGACTAGCTTGTCAATTCTATGTGACATTCTTTTCACGATACCATGCTTTTCCAAATTCATAACGTTTTAACATTTTAGATGATTGAAAAAATTCACTAATTTATGAAGCAAATTAAACACCTATGCACACAAACACAAAGAAATGGTTCTTTGTAAAAAAGTTATGTAGTAAAAAAATTTTTTTCTAAGACAGGTTTAACTTGGCAAGTGGGGAGAAGAAAGCTGAAGATGGCAACTGTCAGGTGATTTAAATGCAGAGAAAAAGAAAGAGAGTCACCGAATCCAGCTGTGCGTGGTAATGAGAGCAGACACCGGCACAGCACAACCGAGCTGACAAAAGAGGCTGAGAATGGGCCCGGTGGAACCCCGCAGAAGGACGCTTTTAAAGACAGCAGAGAAACGAAAATGGTCAAGATGACAAAAACCTCAGGGGATTACTGACTCTACAGCAAGAAATCATAGTTCTTTTTTAAAAGCAAGGTATAACCAAAGCAAGAAAGCTCTCAAGTGTGGCTGCAGGTCCATAACGCACTGTTAAAAAAAAAAATCGCACATATGTACACATACATACATGCATGTTCATCTCTATAAAGTGTGTAACTGTGTAGTTAAATACACATACACGCATTACTTTAGTGCATGGCACAGAGGTCGCACGGCAAGCTCACGCTGCAGGCTGCCACACTGGGAATGGTTATCTCCTAGGTGGTAGGATGACTGGGAATGCCACGCCGTGTGCTCTCTTACACAGTGCTGTTCCCGTGAGCCTGGCATCGACGTAACAAGGGCAAGGATAACCGTACAAGATTTATTTCATTAACCACATGTTTGAGAGTGTTGGGATACACCCTGCTACAGAAGGAGCGACTCAAAATTCAGTTCAAGTCACAGTCAGTGACTGAATCCCGGGGGAGTAAGTGTCACCCACCGATCTTCTCTGGGACCAATCGAGGGGCTGAGCATCCTGGCTTTTGCTCCACGTGTCTGACGAGCAAGCAAGCACCGCACCGTGGCCTCCATCACTTCCTTCTCTCTCTGGCGGTGCGGGGTGTGGGGGGGGAGACACTTGTCCCCCACCCCCCATTTCCATAAGCACTCCTGCTGCCAGCCACGCTCCCCACAATGTCGCACGCGTGAAGGGCTCCAGCGGAACTGCTGTGATATTGACGGTGAGGGCCCATGGGAGCGATGACACCACCATCTGTTCAGCAGACATGCCCACTTAAGACACTAGCCACCGTCCAACTGCATATTTTTGTACAGTCACAATATTGAAATGAAGTGAGAACCAATGCAAAATATTTATTATTTTTTTTCAACCTGTGGAATTCACTCCAGAGCCACACTATAAATTTCTCAGAATTGTTGTCAGCCATTAGCGTTTTTTTTGAACAATACAGTCCAACCAGAAATTCAATGAGGACAATTTCCAGCCGGCAGGGGTGCAGCGCGGGGCGGGTCCTGGAACAATCCGGATGGGCATGTTCCCAACTGCCCCGCCACGTGCCTCGGCAGAAGAGGCTCAAGAGATGGTCTTGGCCAGAGGCCGCTGAGATGTGTCGATGGAAAATGAAGACAGAGAGGAACCATTCCCCCCTTGGGGAAGAGCAGGGCGGGTGTTTTATACATACGGGTGGCCCCAAAGTGGAGCAAATTGCAAAAAAGAATGACAGGAGAGCCGCGTCTCTTGGGGGCTCCTACCCCCTTAACTTCACCTCCTGATAATGGTGAGGCCTCCCCCGTGCAATCTTCTTCAACGCTGTGACCACAGCCAGGAAGGTCTACAGATCCTGACAGGTACCCGTCACATTCTGATTCCTAAACTTACCGTCGCCTTTACTGAGGCCTAGACAGAATTAAAGTAAACAGGAGCTTCAGAAGCTCAAATTAAAAACCACACCAAACCCACTCCACAAAAAACAGCCACACGATGATGTTGCTAATCTAAGTTTTGCCTGCTTTTTTTTTCAGCTGTAAAGATTTTTTTTTTAAATTTCATGTTAGTGTATATTTAGAAAAAAATATTCCATCATTTTAGTAACAGATGCTTATTAAACGAAATTTTAGCTCAAGGGTAATGCATCTTGCATTAAGAATTAGGGGCAATTAATTACAATGAAAAACGGGAAATAACCTAGAAGAAAATACAGCCTGTCTTAGCAAAATGAAGAGAAATCTGGGAGGGTGACTTGGCGGTAAACTGAGTTTATTTAAATGCCGAGACGTGGTGCTGTGGGGACAGGCGTGCTCACTGTGGGTTCCTGTATTCTCCTTTTGTGCTTCGAACTGCCACATCCCTTGCTCAGTCAGAAGGGAGTATCTGGATCTTTGAGATGCAGGTGTAAACACTTCCTGAGGAATTCTTTCATGTGTGCAAATGTGCAATCCCCTAAGATATGCAGCTGGGGCGGCATTAACGGCCGAGGGTATCCATCCTGCATCTCACTGACTCACGAGCCCCTTTTCCTCCGACACCCCAAAGAAAGGGAGGGGAGAAAAAAAAGTTCCTTCCCACAAAATTGAATAATGCACCAATCACGCTCCTGGGTTTGGATTTCTCACCAACTCTCCCTCAGCACTCTGAGGCGAAGCATCGTGAACCCCAGACCTTGCTCTTAACCCCCAGGAAACTGAGTGGCCATTCCTGACGGGTCAGGGTATAGAGCGGTGGCAGCAGGTCCCGAGCAGACACTGCTAGAGAAGTTTAAGGCCAACCATGGTCTCTCCAAGCCCTCCGCATCATTTACCTTCACGTGTCATTATCTGGAGGTGACTGAGCCAGCTTCTCTCGGAGGCCCCAATCTCAGACCAACCCCCGCCCCCTCCCTGACCCGTGTCAGAGTAAGCCAAGGCAGGTGTGCAGCTACCAAGACAATCAACCTGCACCAACAACCGTCCGTCTCCAAGGACGGGAGGGGCCCCCGCAGAGGCCAGCCTCTAGCATCTAGCGTCAGAAACTGTACACTATATCGGCAAGAAGAAGACAAGTAAACAAGAGAGGGAAATACTTTCTGGCGAACAGTGCTCACTCAACACAAAACGAAGGGCAAATCTGGTTTCTGCTCATGCTGCAATTGAAGAATTTTGTTACGGATTCCAATGAAACAAGCAGAGTTCATTTCAACCTGACATAAATACATTCCCCGTAAGTGCAATGTACCCCGAGGGCCAAGAAGGACACAGTCCCACGGGGGGGAACCGAGTCGCTTCCTCCCCCACAGGCTCCCGGATGCTGCTCTCTGCGGGGTCAAGTGCAGATCCGGCGCCGGCCACAGTCACCAGGCGAACACTGAGAAGAACGACACTTTGCACGTTTCACTTAGCCCACTTTTTTGTTAACACAGACATGATAAAGGACAACAATATAAAATCTTTCTTCATTAAGTTAATAATGCAAAAGCATCCAAAGATTTTAATGCCAATTCACATCATAATACAATGCTTTTACAGGGAAAGTTTCCGCTGTTGGCCGAAAGAAGAACACTTCCTCCCAGAAAAAGCATTTGGGTATATAATTAAAGATACTGGAAGATTCACCCACACTGAAAGGATGTTCCCATTCACCCCTTTCAGTAAAACCGTGGCGGGGAGACTTCAGCTGCAAGGGTTTTATTCACAAGCCTGCAACAGGCATTCCATCGAGAACTGTAAATTTGGACTTCATGATAAAAAAGGAATTCTTCCTTGGGACTCAGATGTTACTGGAGGAGGAAATCAAAACGCACAGAGCCTCAGGAGGCCTGTGACATTCTTACAGTGATTGAGTGTCTACCCACACCATCAGAGATGCGCACGGTTAACTGAGTCCACGCCCTCCCAACCCAACTTGGGTTAAGTACTTAAAAAAAATTCATTCTGACAATCTTTCCTTCCCACCCCCCCGCCCGCTTTTTGGGTCACACCTGGCGATGCACAAGGGTTACTCCTGGCTCTGGCTCTGCACTCAGGAGTTACTCCTGGCGGTGCTCAGGGGACCACATGGGATGCTGGGAATCCAACCCGGGTCGGCCGCGTGCAAGGCAAATGCCTTACCCGCTGTGCTATCTCTCCAGCCCCCTCCTTTTGGTTTTTGAAGACACATTTTACACAAGGAAGATTTCTAAGGCATGACTTATTTCTCCCCAGTATTACACTTTTAAGCCTCAGCTCACCTCCATCCCGAAGAGCAAGAGGACCAGGCGGAAGCCACGGTCCCTTATACGCTTAATTCAGATTCAGGCAAAACCGGGAAGGAAATTTGCCTTGCCACGTCTTCCTGTTTCCCTTTGTCCTTCAAAACCAACTAGACTCAGAGTCCTTTATAAGGACCAAATCGCACTGACAGTGTGGAGACACAGAAAATGGAACTTTGCCACGGTGCGAAGGGATCACAAAACAGCAACGCTAGTTCTCTACTCTCACTCTCAGAGAAAATGTTTTAGACACAGATTGCAGACTTTTGTTTTTTAAGTACTTATCTCAACCATTTCAAATGAAATGGATCGGGGATCACCCACACCATTGATTATATCCGGGGTTAATAACCGTTACCTGCTCCCTAGGGCATCCCAGGAACCAGCTTTCACTGTTGGGTACAATTCTCCACATGGCGAAGAGAGTTCTAATGCTAAAGGCACCTCCCCACCCCTAACCTAGCGCAATGCCAAGACTATAGCAGCTGGTGAGATCGTGGTAAGTGACCGAGGGAATGGAAATGTTCTAGAAGAGTTGGTCCCCAACATCAGCATGGACACGCGGCAGGAAGCAGGGGACTGGGACGAGGGCACAGCTTGTTGTTGTCTTCCCACTGAGCATCCCGCCCCCCGGGGGGGGGGGGTGGGAGTGTCACACTGCCCCGGGGTTGGCGGGTCCGTCACACCGTCAACTCTCCCAGGAAGCATCTGCGAGTTGGACAACACGTTCACAAAGTTGCAAAGTGCACAAAGCTCAAGGCACAGAGTAGAAAAAAAAGGTCGTGGACTGAGGGGGAGAGGGTCGGGGCAAAAGCAGAGTTAGCATTTACTCTCGACAAGACCAATGCTAAACAAAGACCAACTCTTTCAAATGGGTTTGTTTGTTTTTTTGGTTATGGGTGTGAAAAAAACACTGATCTGCTTACTTGGAAAGCAAAAGAAATCTTGACATGTGAAACCAGTACGTCGACGTGCCAAGTTCACAAAGGAACAAAACAAGTGCTTTTAAAAAAAGGAAAGACTCTTCTGCTCTGATATTTTTGGAGGAAGCTGCTAATTTTGGCTGTCAGATTTCACACAGACATGGTCACTTTTTGAGAGGCTTGTTCCTCTCAGGTCTGTAGTCACACTGTTGTTAAGAGATTGTCCCATTTCACAATCATCCCCAAGTCTAGCAGCAACTGACCGTTGTTTGTTTCGTTTGTGTTAGTTTTTTTTTGTTTTGTTTTGTTTTTTCGTTTTTCAAAATTACAAACCAAAGTAAGAAGTCCCATATCGTCTTCCAAGAACAGCTTCGTGACAGAGCCGAGTGTGCGGGCCCCTCGGGGCGCTGCCCAGTCTCTGCAGCTCTGCGGCCTCGGGAAAGCGCAGCCAATACATTTACTATCTGTACCCACGGGAACTCGCACATGCGGATGAGCTGTCTGGAAAAACATCCAAACCAGAAAAAGCATCAACGGGGACCAGTCGACTCTCAACCCTCCCCCAACTCCACAAAAGGAGATTTAAACAACAAACAGCCCTGAAGATCATGTGTATGGAGTGATGTCAAAGGAGGTTCAATCACTAGGAACTGAGGCTGGTCACTGTTCTGTTCTAGCCTCTCCGTAGCCCCCAGTCCCCGGGCCCTGCCTCTGGACATCAGCACTGCTACAACCCACCTGGCAGAGCATTCTAACCTTGATCTCACAACATGCCTTGAGACTTTTTTTTCTTTTTGGGTCATACCCAGCAATGCTCAGGAGTTGCTCCTGGCCCTGCACTCAGGAATCACTTCTGGTGGTGCTACGGGACCATATGGAATTCTGGGGATTGAACCCAGGTCAGCTGTGTGCAGGGCAAATGCCCTGCCCCCCTCTCCCCCCCCGCTGTACTATTGCTCCAATCCCACCCTTATGAGGCTATTAATGGGATTGTTCCACGACACTGTCAACCCAGAGGACCCCTGATGTTGCAAACCCATCAAGGGACAAATTAGAGATGAAAAACACCGGTACTTACTATATGCCAACTCCTCCCCAGCTCGCTTCCGGGACTGGTCACCCCTGTGGATAAGAAAAGAGACACTCAACAGAGTTGCCTGACATCATCACATATCAAAATAGGAGAAATAACCGGACAGAACAGATAACAGAAGTATTAGATATTCCAAATCAAGGCCTCTATTTTAAAATAACTCAACAAAACATTGATAACTGGAATGCTGTCAGCTTAAAAGTGCGAGCTCAAGGGCCAGAATGATAGAACAGCATGTAGGGTGCCTGCCTTGCACGCAGCCAAGCAGGGTTCGATCCCCAGCACCCCATATGGTCCCCCAAGCCCCACCAGGAATGATAACCTGAGCAGAACTGGGAGCAAGCCCTGAGCACAACCAGGTATAGTTCAAAAACCAAAACAAAACCAAAATGAAAGTGCTGTCTTAAATACAGAGCACAACTAAATGAAGAAATAATTATCTATCTATCTATATATATATATATATATATATAAAGGTATTGCATGGGGTTCTAGAAATAGGGTCAGGCTGAAATGTCTTAGAAGAATAACCTGGCTCAGCCATCAGCATCTCTATGTATATATTAGGGCATATTTCAAAGATAAATTAGAATATATCGTCTCCCAAAGCCTTGCCTTACTGAGATTAAAAATTGCTTAAAGTTGAAAAAAAAAATCAAAATCTTAATGTCCATGAATACCTGTCACACAGCGAACGTGGACTGAACTGACATATTACTGCCAGTTCATCTTCAGACTCAAGCAGAGTTCTATTTCTTCTTCAAAGGGAAGAAAAGAGTTTCAACTGCGGCCTGTGCTGCCCACAAACTCTATCTTTGTCTCTCTAGTTTTTCAGACAACAATCCAGACCAATGGCTCAGCTGCCAAAGTGAAGAGTAATAACAACCGTCTCACCAGCTATTTCTTTGGGGGTTTCTTGGTGGCGTTCTTTCTCTCCTCTTTCTCTTCCTGAGTCTTCTGGCTTTGCTCAACCTTGCCCTTGACCTCTCCATCTACTCTATTTTCCAGGATCTGGAAAATACCCTAGGCCACATTCTGGATCACCCAAGTTTCATGACGTGAAACCACCCTCATGTAACAGCGTCTCTGGCTGGTTCTAGCTCCTACTTTTATCCCTGCACTGGATGGTTGATACGCAGTGTGAACTGACCACTCCTTCACTCCACCCCAGGCCTTGCTCAGTGCTTCTCAGTAAACCCCACCCCCAAACCCCAATCCTACCTCACTCTTCGTTTCTCTTCCCCTCCCCCTGAGCTCTCCGCTAACAGAACCCTAGAGCGAGCCCTCTCCTTTCCCTGAGCTCATGGCAATAGTCCCAATCCGCACCACTCTCTCTGCTCTACGCAAATCCATGTTTGACTATTATCAGTCCAGACAAGAGCCAGAGTCAGGTCTTAAAAACACAAACCCGTAAATAAAAGTATTTCCCGCCTCTGATTAAAGCCCTCTGGTGGCTTTCCGTTCATTTTCCCGGCCCTGGGAGACACAGTTCCTGCCAACTCCCGCCTCCCCCAACCAGTCTGATGTTCTTAGACAGGTGCTTTGGTGTTGAGGACTTTCTGCCTCAATGCTGTTCCCTGTCACTGGCCCCCGGGGCGGACTCCTTATTTGTGTTCTGGTTGGGATAGTGCCTCTTCAAAGAAATCTTAATTGGCTACTCTGTGGGACAGCAAGACATCGACAGCACCTTGCACTAACTCTGCTCCTTCCACTCCCCACCCAACAGCTCTGGGCCTCCCTATCGGCAATTCTGTTGAAATGTTCCTCTCTCGCCCTACACCAGAGGCCGAGCACCGCGAAGACGAGACGGCGCTCTGTCTTGTTCATTCCAGTCAGCAAAGTCTCCCACTGCAGACAGCAATTACTCGCTGATGCAGCAAATTAGCGAGTCACAAATGGCACTGACAGATGGATCAGTAATATGGTACCCCAAGGAAGTATTTTTGATTGATTTTGAAGGATTTTCCAGACAACCAAACTCCCAGTTTTCTTTGTTCTGGAGATGCCTGTGATCAGAAAGTCTTAAGTGACTGCCAGGAAGCGGGTATGTAGTCTCGGGAGGTACTTTCCTCCAGGCTGAGCATTTAGAGAAGAATAAGCCCCAGGTTTAGCCAAACCAGTCTCCGGCAGGCGAAAGAGCAGAGGGAAGACCGACTCCAAGAATGCCAGGGCACCCTTAAACGGTAAAAAAAAAAAAAATGCTGAGCGCCTCCGTCACTATTTATACTAGGACCCTCAGCGCAACATTCAAACAGTATCCAACAAGTACGTGAGTGCTGATCAGCGTGGAAGATAATGGGAATGTGTCTCTGAAACCTCATTTCTACCCCTCTGGGATCAGGTTAGAAACGGATGTGTTTAAATAACAATACCGTGCAGGAGGAAAAGGCATCGCTGAAAACAAATAAGGAACGCAAAGAGGGTGTGGGCGAGGGGCTGCTTCGGATATGAGTTGATGCCACAACTCTGAAAAGACAGACAGCGTTGCTCTAAGCCAGACAGCTGCTCGGAAGTGAAAAGGTGCCAATTCTAGAGGCTCTCTCGGCGGAAAAAAAATCAACAGCACTTCTTAAGGTTCTGTTTGGTTCCAGAAACCAGGTAGCACCCAGAAAGAACACTCTGCTTGCCTTTCAGAGCCGTTTGGCATCGCGTTCTCCCCTTGCCAAGAGGCTGGCGGGCTGGGTTCCATGGACCGCCCAGTCTGAGTGTTGTTCCACCTGAGTGCCTGCCGCAGGAAGCTCCCTGGGAACCTTCTGTAAGGGAAACTGCCCAACGGCAGAAACCACCTCCCCTCGCCATCCCCCAAGCCTAGCCATTAATTCAGTCATGCAGGAGCCAGGAGATCTAAGAGTTGCTCTTAGCGTCCGTGTTGACTCTATCTACCTCTCAAGTCACCACCATATTCCCACGCACCAAGCTCCATAAACTGCATACAAATCCAATTCACGCAAGACTTCGTACATTAAATGCAGAAGGCGATATACCTGATAATGTTCTTCGCTATTTCAAGAGCTTCAAGTAGCCTTAATCTCTGCTATATCCATACTAGAGCTGTGTGCGGCCTATTTAGAATTCCCTGCCTTATGGATGTGAGCTGTCGATTCAGAACCCTCTGCATTATATCTATTCATCTTCCTATATGTGTGTGTATATATATATAAATGTATGTGTGTATAAATATACATGTAAGTATGTGTAAATGGAACATAATCCTAATGAATAATAGTTCGCAAAGCTGAATAGCAATCCTATGGTTAGGCATAAATGATGAAATGGCCATTTTTATCAGAATACTAACAGAAGTCTTGTTAGATAGCCAGTTCTGTATTTTCCATGTTTCCCTGCCCTCAGAGGACATGTGCTCCGGACAGTCCTAGACAGAGACTGATGAAAGAAGGCACCGCGTCTGCGAGACTCTCCCAGCTGCCCAGTAGAGGTGGGGCCCGTGCTTCCTGGCCATTGGGGTAGCTCAGGAGAGGCCGCAAGGAGCCTGAGAATAATTCCTGTGTGCACAGCACCCATCCGAATCATTTGCAACGCTAACTTTAATCCTCATCATTAATATGTAACAAAACAAACACTGTCCTCCCGTTGTTCATCGATTTGCTCAAGCGGGCCCAGTAACGTCACCATTTTGAGACTTGTTGTTACTGTGTTTGGCATACTGAATACATCACGGGTAGCTTGGCAGGCTTTGCCGTGCGGGCGAGATAACTCTCGATAGCTTGCCAGGATCTCCGAGAGGGGCAGAGGAATTGAACCTGGCTTGGCCGGGCTGGCTTCGCTCAAGGCAAAGGCCCTACCACTGTGCTATCACTCCAGCCCTATAAATATGTAACAAATGGCTAATTTAATCTAGAAAGGTTCAAGCCAGTTTGTAAAATAAAACACTCAAATTTCATCACATCTTGAAATACCGGTTATTACTTAAATGTCAGGCAGAAGTAGTACACAAGCATTCAACTAAGGGAAACAAAAATTCCCATTTACATTAAAAAAAGCCAAGGCATTTCCCTGCCTCTGATCAGCTTGGCTGAGACTCAAGAGTGCTCTGTCTGTCACTCATGGACGAGGGAAACGCCCGTGAGGCACTGCATGGGGTCAGCCCCTCCGCTCGCCCAGAGCAGAACACTGGGTGCTCCCTTTCCACTTTCAAAATCAGGATTAGGAAAACATCTCTGGTCATGTTTAAATATCCCCAGAACCACCTGTGGGCCACACAAGTGGTCCAGGAGTGAATCCTGAGCAACTCTGTTTGTGGCCTAAAAACAAATAAATGACAACAACAACAACAACAACAAGATTTAGAAGGAAACATGAAATACTGTTATCTCTCTACAATGAAACTCTCATGAAAAAAGTAAATAGACAAACAGCTGCGTAAACTATTCTGGAAGAGGAATTTTCAAAGTGCTCTGAAAGATTCACAACAAAATAACTTCCGACACCATTTCACAGAAATGAAAGTTCTTAGAAGACTTTCCTGTTTCTCAAAAAGCAATGAGGGGTAAAAAAAAAGCAAGCTTAAGAGATTTCAAAATTATGCTGAGCCTACAAAACATTATAAAAACTTTTGTGCTTACTTAAGAACACGTAAGGGAAAATTAATAAAATATATATAAGCTAAAAAGGAAAAAAAGGCATGGTAAAGTTAGTTACACAAAACCATTTATATGACTTGAAAAGCTACCAGGGGTGGGCTAGAGTGACAATAAAGTGGGTAGGGAGTCTGCCTTGTTTCATCCCCCAGCATCCCATATGGTCCCTGGAGCACTGCCAGGAGTGATCCCCGAGCGTGGAGCCAGGGTGAGCCTGGAGCATCATGGTTAACTCAACCCCCATTCTACCTTCCCCCGCCCCCTCCCCAAAAGCCACTACCGGCAAAGTCAAAGACCGTCTGAGAAAAATAACTGCCTTACTATCTTGAGCCAAGCAAGATTCAGTCTCTTCAGTACAGAAGGAGCTATAAGAACCTAACAGAAAAAGAGTAACAAGCAAACAAAACAGGTCACTTGTAGAAAATGAAGTATAGGGGGGAAGAGTCGTACAGTGGGTAGGAAGCTTGCCTTGCATACAGCTGACCCGGGTTTGATCCCTGGCACTCCATACGGTCCCCAGAGCCTACCAGGAGTGACCCCTGAGCACTGAGCAGGATCAGCCCTGAGCACTCACTGCCAGGTGTGACCTCCCACTCCCCCCCAAAAACAAGAGAAAGAAAAAAATTAAATACAAATCTGGGGGCTAGAGAGATTTTAGGCACATGCCTCGCACGCAGCTGACTCTGATGGGTTCCTGGATACCACATGGCACCCCTGAGCCCAGGCCCCTCCTCCCCAAATGTAAGAGCAGTCTAAGCTTTACTCATAATAAACGCAAATTAAACAAACTCTGAGGAATTATTTTTTACCTGCCAGATTGACAAAAATTCAAAAGTTAACAATATTCTCAATAGCCAAGCCACGAAGAACTTTCAAACAACTGTGTAAAATGGCACAAATCATGGGAGAGAGCAATTTGACAGCATTAATCAAAATCTCAGCTCCATTTACCCCCGACTCTGCAATCCCCTTGTGGAACGCTTTCTCCAGAGATACCTGCAACAGGTACAAAATAATGCGTGAACGAGGTTACTTGCTGCTGCTGTCTATGTAACAGCAAAGGACTAGAAATAAGCCCAGTTGCTACCTGGTGAAATCAGTTACAGTATTTCAACACAATGGGGTGCGTAAGAAAGGAATAAAGAAGGTATTAAGAGTCTGGAATCATAAGGCACAAAGGGAAATGGTGACCTAACAGGAATAGGAGCAAAGTTTTGTTGGATTATAGTTCTAAACATTTCAGGTTTAACATGGGTTTGCCCTTTCTCCTCTGCCGCAGGGAGCTTGGGTTTACTGGTTACACCCATCACAGTGCGCTCCCTCTCCTCTGTGTTTATCTTTAACTTGTCTGTGCTCTGCTTCCCTTATCTGTTAATCACCTGTATCCCCAAGTCAGACCCTGTGACTTGTAAGGTCAGAGTCTCCTAAGGACTCTGGACTTAGTATTTGTAAGTGAAATATTGCTTTCCCTTATGTCCTTTGCATAGTTTACCTTAGAGCAATGTCCTTTTTTTTTTGAATATATTTTTTTTATTAGTGAAACACCATGAGGTACAGTTATAGACTTACACATTTTTGTGCTTGGGTTTCAGTTATACAATGATCGAGTACCCATCCCTCCACCACCACGGGTTCCAGCATCCCTCCCACCCCCCATTCCCCCGTCCCACAGAGGCAGGGCATTCCCCCTTGTTCTCTCTCTCTCTCTTCTTTTGGGTACTGTGTTTTGCAAGAGAGGCGTTGAGTGGCAATCATGTTTGGTCTATAGTCTACTTTCAGCATACTTCTCCCACCCTGGGAGGATCCTCACAACACCCTTTATTTGGTGCTCTCTTCTCTATCTGAGCTTCCTTTTCCCCTAGCACGTGTGGCTGGCATCCAAGTCAGGGAGCAAAATTCCTGGTACTAATCTCAGCCATTCCTGGGTGTTAGTCTCCCATTTTGTTGCTTTATGTTCCCCAGATGAATGGAATCTTTCTGTGTCCATCCCACTCTTCCTGACTCATTGCGCTTAACATGATACTTTCCATGTAGTACCACTTCTATGTAAATTTCATAACTTTATCTTTTCTAACAGCTACATAGTACTCCATTGTGTAAATGTACCAAAAGTTTCTTTAACCAGTCATCTGTTCTCGGGCACTCAGGTTTTTTCCATATTCTGGCTATTGTAAAGAGTGCTGCAATGAACAAACAAGTGCAGATGTCACTTCGACTATACTTTTTTGCCTCTCTGGGATATATTCCCAGGAGTGCTAGAGCAATGTCCTTTTTGCACAGCAGTTAATGCTATGCTTTTGTAACCTCTTTTGAGAGTTAACTGACTCTGAATTAAATTTACTCCTGGGCATCGGTCATATTTACTCAACTTAAGCCTCAGTTTTCCTTAGTTCCTAGCACCTGAAAAGAAGGGTCCTGACAAAGGGCCTTTAGATGGACCCAGGGCAAGCCGTAAGCTACCCTGACATCGAAAAGGGATAGGCCAAGTGCCACAAAACTTATAATAAGATAAGAACATGATGTGGACAAATTCTACTATGACCCAGAATAGAAGAGAAGCAACTGGACAAGGACCCTGCTGGGGTTAGGAAGAACTAACCTGGCCTGAGCACTGTAGTCTGGGATCTATAGCGAGATGTCTCCAGGGGGGGGCACCCTATAAGCTTAATATATCTCTTACTGTGTCCATCAAGATGACTAGAAATATTATTAAGAAGTAAACTTAAAATGACCATTTATGTGGAGATGAACTAAGTCAAAGGAGAAATACACCCTTAGATGAAATTCCGCCTTGGAGCGGAATGAGGGAAGATGAGATCTCTTTCTTAGAAGACCTTCCCCGGAAGGAAGGGCTTTACATATGTGCTACCTGACCTATGTGGAGTGGTTACCCCCAACCTTACAGGTCGGGTTCTTAACTAAGTCTGGAGGAGGAGAATAGGGGGTAAGCGGGAATGGGGCACGCAGTGACACTGGAGTAGGCAGGCGGGGAGAATGGAATAAATGGCAGCACAGAGACTGGAATAAATGGCGACTGATCACCACACAGCTTGGTGGCCCTGTTCCCTCTTTCATGTGAAACCGGTGGTGGTGGCTGGCTGAGGCGGCAATGCGGCTCATGGCCACCGAAGGAACGTGTCCTGAAGAGCACCCACACACATTTTGTGAACACACAAAAGCTTCTCAATGCACACTTCGCATGAAAAACGACACTGCTAAGTAAAATGACTGACCATTAATAGCATCATTCTGCTTCTGACAATATTATTAGAAATACTCCAGAGTATTCCAAGCTCCCGGAAGAGAACAAGGCAGAGTCTCCTGCCCCCGTGCCTGACTATCCTCACCGGGGCCCATTGGAGCAGGACGGATTCAGTTTCCCTCTCCACCCTGAGCAGAGCCCCGACAGCTGAAGACCTCTGGGACCCAGCCAGAGCCATGCTGAGACCACTCTCCACACGCTTGGACGAGGAACCGGCAGAGGAACCCAGGTGTGCAGGACCCGGGGCTGAGATCTCCAAGCCTGCTTGGTTTCGGGACTGGGCCTCCTCCACCCAGCTCCCCCACCTTCCAGTAGCTAGACAGTTAACACCCACCAACTGCCGTGTAACCCCATCAACGGCCAGGATTCAGAGACTCTAAAACCAAGCTCCTGGAAGCACGCGGCCGCATTTGCGGCTGCACGACCCCTTTTTCTCTAGTTCTCACTCTCAGAGAACCCGGCAGTCTACTGAGAGTATCATACCCGCCTATATGCTTGACTAGGAACACCTGTAAAGGTGATTAGAGGCTGCCCCAAAAGCTTCCATCCCTCTCGGAGAGTCCAGCAAGCTACCGAGAGTATCCTGCCCACACGACAGAGCCTGACAAGCTAACCGTGGCATACTCAATATGTCAAAAACAGTAACAATGAATAGTCCTCATTCCCCTGATCCTAAAGGAGCCCCCAATTTGTCATCGGGCTACACTAGCATGTGACAGGGATGAATGGAGACATTACTGGGCCCACTCGAGCTTATCGGTGAGCAACGGGGTAATAGTGATAGTGATAGTGACTCCAGAGAGAGCCAGCAGATATCTAACCCTGGGCGCCAGGGAGAACAGCCGTCTGTTCTGAGTTGGGCACTTCTTACTGCCCTCCCTGCCCCTTACACTTGCCCCACCCAGGCCCCGGCGCCCATCACCCACTCCACTGAGTGAAGTCAGCGACTGGTGGGTCACTCTGTGCCCCCACACCATCACTACTGCACGATGCCGGAAGCTCCCAGGACCCAAAGGGAATAAACGCTGATCTGCGGGAGCTTGCAGAGAATAATTACTCTGCTCTCTTTCCTAATCTCTGCTGAAAGAACAGAATTAACAGTGATTTTGGTCAAGACCGGTATATTCTGAGATTTCACCTGATCTCAGCGCCTAAGACAAAAAGTCCATTCCGCAACCTAATGAGCCAGTACTCACCCTATTGGCTGTGGTTACATTTGGCCTACGAGAGCAGCCCCTGCAGCTATTAAACTTTCTTCTTTTAATAGCAAGAATCCAAATGAATGAAGATATGAAAATGTGAGGAGTAAGGATTATGAAAACACAGGTAGTAAGACGTCCGCTGATGATTTGGTGACAATGCAATGTCGCTCTCACGGGGCGTCACATTGTACATAATTTATTTCAGTTGAAACTGTGCATGTTAGAAGATTTTCTGGGATACAGACATGATTTAGAAAAAACTCTGCCAAGGGAAATACATGTAAAGAGAACTCTACTCTTTGAGCGAACAACTAGAACTTAGAGCAAAGCAAAAGTATGAAAAACAGAAGCTGAAGCCTCTTTAATAGTCCTAACACTCGTCAGCTGCTGTCTTAGTCATAAGAGCATATACACTTTCTAACATTTCTATAATTCAATTGCTCTGAGCTGAAAGTTGGAAGAGCTCTGGGGGGAGGGAGTGCAAGGGCAGCTTCCATTAACTCAAACCCCAGCTCCCAGACCCACCCACCTCCCCCCCCAAAGAGAGGCCCGAACGCGCTTCCCAGCACTCTAATCCCCAACAGCTGACTCCCGTTCAGGGAGTACGTCCCGGCATCCCTCCCTGCCAGACCAAACTGGGCTAAGGAGACACACTTTGTTCTGAGAGGTCCAAACTTGCCTTGTAAAACCATTCTGTATAAGTTCTCGCTGAAGTTTCTGATCTTGGGCAGCATATTCTGAAAGCTCAGATTCCACTGCCGGAGGGAGAATGTTGGGTATGAATTTAGAAAACAGAGTTGGCGCCATCTGAACCCACTCTGCAAGGGAAGAAAAAGAAGGCATTAAGGAAATCTTACCGGCAAATTAAATGGAAAAGGAAACATTTTCTTTCGTTCAGACAACAAAAATGTGTATTAAGCCAAACTTAGTACAAGGAAAAGCTAGTGCAATCTTATCTGTTTTATTTATTTATTTATTACTATTATTTTGTAGCACTAGAGACTGAACCGAGGACCTCACCCATGAGAGGCACGCACTCCATCCCAAGCCACATCTCAAGCTGCAATCTCATTGGTTGTCTATGTTTTGGAACACACCAGGAGTGCTCAGGGCTTACTCCTGATTCAGGGATCACTCCTGGCGGTGATGGGGGACCAGAGGGTTTGCTGGGTTTTCTAAATAGAACCTGGGTCAGCTGGATGCAAGGGAAGCACCCTGACTGCTGTACTATCGCTCCAGCCCCCCTGATCACATTCGAATAAAGAACATACCAAGATATGTTCTTTATACATCATCCTTCCTGAAGAGAATTCACAGTATAAAGTGTTTTCTTCTTTTCTAAATTTTAATAAAATTTAAAGAAAAGACCTAGAATTGTTTAATAGAAAGTTCTGAAAATTCTGAATAAGGAGGAAAACATTAATGAGACAACCAAGGAATTCTGAGTGGGAGGTAAGGGGTGTAGTGAAAATATCGGTCCAAGTCACCAGCATTAATTAAAACAATCCACCAAATACAAGAGGAGACTATTAGAGGTTACAGTAAGTAGACGCAATAAACAGAAGCACCATCATTTGGTTTCTTTATTACTATTACTAAATAGTGATAGTGAGCGCTTTGATTTTGGTTCTGATATCTATTTCACTCCTCAAAGCATCCCTATGAAATTACCTTTACCAACTTCCGATTTTTCAACAAGTTTTTACATAACAGGGCTAAGAAGATGGAGTTGTGAATGTGCACGCAGGTGCCAGTTGTAAATTTGCAGTGTGGGGTAGAAATGAAGGAGAAACATGAGATCGGGAGAGATTCAGAACCAGACAGGAGAGTCGACTTTACCTAGTGTCTCCTATAAATTATCTCCTGTATTTCCCAAACTCATTGGTTTTTCCTAGCAGAGAAAGAAGAGGGCCCTGAGTCCCAGTGATAAATACCTACTTGGTATTTTTGCTATGGCAAATCCAAATACCACATGGTTTTAAGTCAGAAAGAGAAACACTCTCATTTTGATAAGACTGGAACTGCCATAAACCAGCAAGTTCAACCCCCGGAGACAAGATGAGTGTTTACCTGGTCTGAGGGTGTACAGGCCTTTCACGATATTTGCCATAGTTGAAGGTGTGACCTGAAACGGTGTAGACTGGGCTTCTAAGAGTAAAGCTGAAACACAAAGAGAAGATGGGTTAGAACAATGATTTGAACTATTCGCCGATAAGGCTGCTTTCTACGGCTGTCTCTCCCAAAGACCGCAGAACAAACAAGAAACGAACAGCCCAAGAGAACATCTCAGGAGTGCCAAGAGTCATGCACTAGAAAGGGTTGTGTTTTTCACATCAGATGCAGAGGCGCTTCGACTGCGGGGGGCAATGTGTGCAGACGGAAGCACTAATGGAAATGATTCAATTCGGAGAGGTTCTGAAAGTCAGTAAAGCTCTCTAAAAGCAATAGCATTCGTGGACTTAGTGAGTGGTATAAAAGCGCTTCCCGTTAAGTTCATGATTCATAAGAGCTGCATTTGGGGAATAAAATGTTCTCCAGGGTTTAAAATGAGCTCCCTCAATCTCCCTCTTTCCCCCAAATCACTATTCTTTGACACGTTTGGAATTTTTATTAAAGATATATTAATAGCAATTTTAGTAACCGCAGTCAGTCAAAAACTCACTTTCCCAAATGCTTTCCCTCTCTTTCTCCGTAAAAGACCAGAGATTACGCTGACTCAACCATCTCATTTCCACAACCCCATTAACAATGAATGATCTGACCTGGACTGGACAGGCCAATAATTCTCTTTTGGAGAACGATTTCTTTTTTTTCTTTTTCTTTTTATTAGTGGAACACCATAAGGTACAGTTGTAGACTTACAAATTTTTGTGCTTGGGTTTCGATTATACAATGATCAAGTACCCATCCCTCCACCAGTGCCCATTTCCCACCACCACGGATCCCAGTATCCCTCCCACCCCCCATCCTCCCATCCCACCCTGCCTCTGTGGCAGGGCATTCCCTTTTGTTCTCTCTTGGAGAACTATTTCTACACAGAAATTCTATTAAAACCTTTTTACATGGGTAGGAATAATTCCCCCTTAATATCGCCATTAATGGATACAAATAACTTTCAATATTTAGTGCAGGGGTGGAGAATTTTTTTTTTGGGGGGGGCCAAGGCCATTTGGATATTTATAACCTCATTCACAGAGCACACCATATAGTCAGATAGGCTGTGGGAAGCCATGAGAAGCAGTCCTGTGTGTCTTGTCACCTGCCAGGGCCAGACCACCTGACTTCATGGGCCTTAAGGGGACTGCTGGAAGTTTCTTACCCCTGAATTAGTGGATAGAACAATCGCTTAGTGATTCGCAACCGTTCGTTTTAAATTTGTCACTCAAAGACCTACATTTTACAAGTACTACTTGGCAGAATATGATTTTAAGTCAAGTGCGCAAAACTATATAAAATGACTGAAGGAACAGCAGCTGGAGTGCGGATAAAAAAACAGAGTAGATACTACGCTTCCTTACATATTGTTTAAATCTCCTAATACCTTAGGAATTATATCTTCATACTTTATCATCATGGACTTTTTTTTTTAACCAATAAGAAAACAGGCTAAACATAAAACAAAACAACAGAGGAATGGAGAAAGAAGTTGTGGTATTTATACACACACTGGAATATTGTGAGGTTATAAGGAAAGATGGTAAAGGCCCTCCCGTTGATCGTCGATTTGCTCGAGCGGGCCCAGTAACGTCTCCATTGGAGACTTTGTTGTTACTGTGTCTGGCATATCGAATACTCTCGGTAGCTTGCCGGGCTCTCCGAGAGGGGCGGAGGAATCGAACTCGGATTGGCCGTGTTGGCTGCTTGTAAGGCGAACGCCCTACCGCTATGCTATTGCTCCAGCCCATAAGGAAAGATGAAATCCTGCAACTAGCTGCCCTTGGAACAGAACTCGAAGGCAAAGTAAGTCACAGTAGAAAGACAAGTCCTTGATGATCTTACTCATCTGTGGTATGTAGAGAAACAAAGCAGGGAATAAGATGATATTGAATAATTTAAAAAAATCCTTTGACTATAAATTTATAGACTTTTACTATAAATCTGAGGTACCGAACAGTGGGAGGAAGGGTTGAAGAAGGGGCAGACTAGAAACCCTGACAACTGCTCATGATATCAGCCAGTTTTACCTGACTTGTGAAAGTGAAAAGGCCTTTTAGTTTACTAGGAAAAGAAACGATTCAGCCTCTTCAGGAGTAATTTTTATTATAAACCAGATGAGGTAACACACAAAGGAGGAAATGATTCATTTTCTCTCACCTTGTGTATACTAATATGTTATCTCTAAAATTTTCTTTTAGATATATATTATCTATAAAATGACGATTAAATTCATTTCTAAGTCACCAACATATAAATGCCTATTTATGAGGTTAAGTAGGCTTTTCTCTGAGTAATAGCAATTCTCTAAAGAACTTTAACAGGAAAGACTCCAAAACACGGCTCTATTTTAAAACTAAAGCAAAAGGCAGTGTCGACATCAGAAAGAACATTTAAATGATAATAACCAGTAGCTGGAATATCTCCTGAGATAATGCTTACAGATGTCTATAAACATTTGTCCAGCCTAGCCTAAAGGGAAAAAAGCCCCAATCCCATGATTCTGGGCCTTGATTAAGACTCTGGACTCCCATGGGAACACAATGATGAGGCCTATTATCTTCATCTACAATAATATAAGGAAGTTGCTTTTCTGAAATAAACTGGTGCAGAATGTTTAATACTTCTTTTAAATTTAAGAATGAAAAAGCAGTAATTCTTTATGAGTTTTAGTAAATTTTTATTGTAACAGGCGCTAATGAATGCAAAAATACATACTACAAGTCCAAGTAAGTCATCAAATTCTAGAAAATCTAAAAAAAAAAGGTGACTTGCTAAGTTGCATAAAATATGAACCTTGAAAGATGCTGAAACAGGGCGAGCGAGTACAGCAATGGGGCGTTTGCCTTTCACGTGGTCAACCTGGGTTAGATCTCTGACATCCCACTTACAGTTCCTGAGCATGGCCAGGAGCAATCCTGAGCCCAGAGCCAGGAGTAGGTCCTGAGCCAGGCTGTGTCCCCATCCCCTAAAAAAAGATGCTGAAACAAAGGCTGTTGGCACCCACGTAAACTTTACTTGGCGAGCCGGTAATTCTTAGATTTATGATGCCGCCTTGGGTGAGGAGGCAGGGGCCCAGGCCCAGGAGAGAGGACACTGAACTTAGCACTGAGATCTGCAACTGGATGTCAAACAATTTACAAAATCCAGCACGCAGAAGAGAAAATGCAGGGTTGCGGTCACAAAGCTTGAGTAAATCAGTAAACGGCAGAGTCAGATTAGAGAAAGGCCCTAAGAGTGAAAAATTACATTAAAACAAAAAATAATTTTTAAAAAAAAGTGAAAAATTACAGATGCTGTACTAACACTTCCAAGATGCAACAGTATCTTCTGGAGTAATCAGCAACAATGTCAATTATCAGTACCCACTCATCAAAGTTCACAGTAAACAACCCCCTTGAGGACGTTCCCCTCCTAACAGGGGTAGCAAGGGGAGCAGGAGGCAAAAGTCTCAGGTCAGATATGAAGACAATGTCCAGCTAGCAAGATCACTGGGTGACCTTCAAGTCACAGTTTGAATTCTCTCTCCCTAAAACAAGCCTTGAAAACTTCTGGCTATTTGATTAAAGACATGTCAACACTGGGGTTTATATGCCAAGGCACCATAACCCTCCCTGCTCCCAGAGAGCGCTGTTGGTGCTACCTCACCCTTGCAATAAGCGGAATTACTTACGCATTAGGCTATAAATGTGCTTTTCTGCAACATGTTCCGTAAACAGCTTTATAAGGTCATCTTTTAAGTCTCTGTTAAGCTTGGTTTCGATGTAAAACTTATTCTGAAAAAGAAAATAAGTTATTTTTTATTGCATCGGTTAGGGAGAAATATTCTAAAGAAACTGAAGCACTGAAAAAAAAATGGCCAATTTTGAGAAATAATACAGGCACTAATTAAAACATGAATGTTTAATAATAAAAACCCTACCACTGTTACATCTTTCTCTAATTTATTCCTTCTATTGGTGCCAAGAATTGAACTCTGGGGCCTTCTGAATGCAAGGCATGTGTTCTACCCCTGAGCCAAGTCCCCAACCTTGCTGGGTCTTTCTGGCATGGAGTTAAACACCAAAAGATCAAATACATGAACCACATACCTTCCATAACACAGAAAGATACCTAACATTAAGTAGACAGGGATATCCAGAGCAGACCTGAGTGTCTCATGTCATAAGCACGTAATCTTTTTGTTTGTTTGTTTTTTGTTTGTTTTATTTTTTGATTTTTTATTAGTGAAACACCATGAGGTACAGTTGTAGACTTACAAATCTTTGTGCTTGGGTTTCAATTACACAGTGATCAAATACCCATTCCTCCACCAGTGCCCATTTCCCACCACCACCCAGTATCCCTCCCACCCCCCAAGCACGTAATCTTTTAAGGAAGTCAAGTGACCCAATCAGGATGACAAAAAACTAGGAAAGTTTTTGAGAGAAAGTTTCTTAAGAGCTATCTTATATCCATTTAATGTAAATCTTAAAATGCATTAGCACAGAACGAGTCATAATATTTTTAAAACTCATGTATCTGCAAAATAAGATATCTTAGGAAAAAAATTTTATTTATAAATTTATCACTGATTTACAATTTTGCAGAATTCCAGGAGTTTAGCTCTATTCACCTCTGTGTCTGGGCGTCACCAACTCCACAGCATGGAGAAAGGAGAGAGCTATCCCACATGCTAGATAATAAACATAGTAAGAATGTAATAAATGGTCAAAGTTATCAGAACTGAAGAGTTTGTCTAAGCAACTGAGCTGTTTGTGGATGAGGACAGTAGGGGGAGGGGTTCCTGGAACACTGGGGGACAGGTCAGTGTCGTGCTGGAATAACAGATCCATGAAAAGTATATCAGTACTGTAAATCCTAGTACCTCAATAAAAATTTTTTTTGGGGGGGGGCCAGGGAACGACACGTCATCTTCTAATCCGAGAACAAGATGAATGAGTCAGCCTGAAGACTAATCTCAAAGAGATAGAATCTAAGCTGCAGAAACTCATGGGTACACTGGTCTTTTGAGTCCAAAACTCTGGGGTGCCTTGGGGTGGGAAAGTGGTTCCTGTCCTGACGAAATCCTGGCAGTCACATCCACATCCCAGAGTTGCCACCGCACAAACAGCCCGACCTCACTGCTTCCCAACTAACTCTGCAGAGATGTCGGGCTGATGAAAATTCCAGCCACACGGGATTTCAGGCTGTGAACTGTGGGGGTTCTTGGAGTGGGCAAAGGCGGCCCCCTAGTCTCAGTCACACAAACAATGATCCAGCTTCAGAGCTTCAGGCCAATCCTCGGGAGCGATGCGAGCCGAGCCAAGCCTCTGAAACCCATCAGCCCAATTCTCCAGATCCCGGAGTCCCTGGGAGGCGGGGACGGCGGACGCAGCCAGCAGCACCTCCAAATTCCACAGTACTGGCAGCTCAGTAGGAGCACAGCAAATCAAGAGAGGAAAGGAGCACAGATGCCCACTAACTAGCTCAGTAAATTAAAACAATGGCACAGAAGGCTCACAGAGGAACACAAGAGCTCAGCCCACCCTCAAACAATGACTTGAATGTCCCACTGTGAGAGAGAACAATTTTCACTAATTTCCTTTTACTTTAGTATTTTTTGATCATTCCATTAGCCATGTTGTGGTGACAAGCAAAATAAAGTAAATTATTTTGTTCCTGCTGGGAGCGCAGGTGGGGACAATGATGGAGAGAGGTCACACTGGTGGCGCGGCTGGTGTCGGAACACTGAATGCCTGAAACAACTGTATTATGAACAAGCAACTTTGCAAGCCATGGTATTTAAATAAAGTTAAAAAAAGGTAATTATAAAATATTTGGATAACCATAAAAAAAGATGAAACAAACCCTACAGACAAGCAAAGAAACAAAACAGAACCCAAGACCTTGTACTACTGTGGAAACCAAAGATCAAGTGACCCTGGAGATGGTCTTTTTTTTCTGGAAATTTCTTTTACAAGAGATACTCATGCTTCTAAATTACATAATTACTTTAAATTTGGGTTCTGTTTCTTGCAAGCAAAAGCACCATGATTAGGATTATTAGCAAGTCAAAACAATAGGTTCAAATTTAGATGTTAACACAATTACAGGAATGGAAAATTTTTAAATCTTAACAAATGGCTTAATTAAAATTATGATGCTTTCCTCCTCTTTGAAAATTTATAAAACATTCATGTGGTTGCAAAATAAAACTATGCAGAAGGGTATGCAATAAGGTCTCTCAGAGCTAACCACTCCAGTCCCATTCCCAAATATACCATTGGACACTGGGGAAATATTGGCATTCTTTCTAAAGTGCTGCCCAGTCCATGTGTTATGTGGGTTTTTTTCCCTTAACAAATTAGAAAGCACCTGCTAATGAAGAAATATTACACTAAGCTTTGCACTGGCTTTTTCACCTAATTTACCTAAGGAAGATTTTTTTTCTATAATAACACACCGACATCATTATTTTTAACTACATATTTCTTTACTGTATCTTCTACATATTATTTAAAATTAGTAGTCCCCTGCTGATAATAGATTCCCCCCCCCATCATCTTGCTATTAAAAACAATGTTGCATAATTCTTGCACATACACTTACAAATATGTATGAGTTTGTTTGATAAATTCCTAGAGGTACAATTCCTCAGTCAAACGCTGGTGCATTTTCATCTATGCCCAGTCATGCCAGTCAATCTTTCAAGAGGTTTTACCGACACACACTTCCTTATCTTGCTCCTCATGGGAGGGACCATTTCCCCAAAGCCACAGAACTGGGCTATCAAACCTATTTCATTTCACTAACTGAAAGTTTTTTTTTTAAAGCTAGTTATTTTAACTTATTTTTAAGACAGTAGGTATATTTGCATGTTTATTACTCATGTCATTCTTTTTTCCCCTGTGAACTATGCATTTGTGTCCTTTCTCAACTTATAAGGACAAAGTAGAGTGGTTGTTTTCTAATTAATTCATAAAACATGATTATATATCAAGGAAAGCAACCTTCATCATATGTTTTGCAAATTTATTGCAATTTCTTCCCAACTATTTTGGTTTATGGCGTATTTCAGGGTACAAGGTTTTTAACTTTTTCAATGACCATAGTTGGTATTGGCCTTCATGGCCTTGAGGATTGTGGGCTTGTTTGGGAAGGTTTTTTTCTACCCTTCGCTCGAGGAAAGTTTGAAGCTTGTTTATTTTTAACTGATACTGACTTCCTAAATAGCTTTTCTTTTTTTGCTTTTTGGGTCACACCCGGCGATGCTCAGGTGTTACTCCTGGCTCATGCACTCAGGAACTGCTCCTCGCGGTGCTCGGGGGACCATATGGGATGCTGGGAATCGAACCTGTGTCGGCCATGTTGGCTGCATGCAAGGCAAACGCCCTACCGCTGTGCTATCGCTCCGGGCTGGAGCGATAGCGCAGCGGGTAGGGCATTTGCCTTGCACGCAGCCAACATGGCCGACCCGAGTTCGATTCCTCCGCCCCTCTCGGAGAGCCCGGCAAGCTACCGAGAGTATCTCGCCCGCACGGCAGAGTCTGGCAAGCCACCCGTGATGTATTCGATATGCCAAACACAGTAACAACAAAGTCTCCAATGGAGACGTTACTGGGCTCGCTCGAGCAAATCGATGAACGACGAGAGGGCCTTTACCTTTACCTTTACCTTCCTAAATCCAAAGTTCAAGAAAGCAACAATGGTGCAACGGAGAGAGCACAGCAGGTCAGGCATTTTCCCTGCACACACTGGCATATCGCGGGCACCAACTATTCCTCCCCACCTCGCACCCTTCCCCTGCAGGAGGAAAGCCCTGAAAAGAACCCCACACCTCTCGAAAAAGAAAAACAGTAATAACAGCATAACAGAAAAAGTTTGAATCACATTACCTTATCTTAACCAAAGTTTTATAGTCATATTTTGGTTCAAAATCCATGTCAAACTGTAACCTGCTCTCTGAGCCCATGTTCTCCCTTCAACACAAATCTCGCTCACTTACCCCTACATATCTTTGCTCGCTTGCTTTTTTTTTCCATTTTAGAAAACTCTGTGTGTTCTCTCTTGAACAAGTATCATTTCTCTTTCCCTCCCCTTATATCTTTCTAAATTTCATTCAATAAAAACTATCTTGGGGCTGGTGCAATAGCACAGCGGGTAGGGCATTTGCCTTGCCCATGGCTGACCCAGGTTCGATTCCCAACATCCCGTATGGTCCCCTGAGCACCGCCAGGAGTAACTCCTGAGTGCAGAGCCAGGAGTAACCCCTGTGCATCGCCAGGTGTGACCCAAAAAGCAAAAAAAAAAACAAAAAAAACAACAAAAAAAACTATCTTGCTTCACTAAAAAAATAGCAAAAGACTCACAAATAAATCTCGGAAGAGAGAAACATGCTGCAGAGATGTCTCCTCACCCCTCGCCAGGCTGACTTCATCAAGGTGCTTCTGAGGGGGGCAGGTGTGTCCCTCCACCTGCCCCCAAAACAACCCCAGCAGGCACAAACCTCCAGAACCCAACTGCTGACCTTCACAGGCTCAGGATGAGCTCCCCACGCATGAAAATGAATCTGCTGAAAGACCCAAGTATGTGGGTTTTGTGGCTGAAATCTCCAGGCTCGCATGGAGTCGGGAATGGGTGCCATCCTCCCATCTCCCTGTGCTTTGGGACTCTGGCAGTCAGGCCCATGAACTGTCTCTGGGAGCACATTAACAGCCATGATTCAGAGACTCCTAAATAATTCCCGGAAGAGAGCAATATGCTGCAGAGATGCCTCAGGACCACCAAATCACCATCCAGTTAAAAGTTTATACTTTTATACAACCCATACTTTATGCCACTGCTATACCAAGAGTAGCATACCACATTTGATGGGGTGGAGGGTAGAAGGGTAGATCTTAATTAATATATAAAGATATAGATATAGATAAGCACACAAGGCTCAGCCTGTAACATGCTGTCACTGTCACTGTCCTCCTTTTGATCATCGATTTGCTCGAGCGGGCCCAGTAACGTCTCCATTGGAGACTTTGTTGTTACTGTGTCTGGCATATCGAATACGTCACGGGGAGCTTGCCAGGCCCTGCCGTGCGGGTGAGATACTCTCGGTAGCTTGCCGGGCTCTCCGAGAGGGGTGGAGGAATCGAACTCGGGTCGGCCATGTTGGCTGCGTGCAAGGCAAACGCCCTACCGCTGTGCTATTGCTCCAGCCCGTAACATGCTAGTGATCTCTTATACAGGGGCTTAATGGCTCCAAGGTGAGATACAACAATTTTCACACACTTTCCTCTAAAGAAACCTTTTTGGATCATTTTTAGTCAAAAATTCATAACAAGCAATACAAAATAAATTAGCATCTGCAGAGGGTGGTGGTGGGAAAATTCAAACTAATGATGGTGGAAAGGCGTAATGGTGCTGGGACTGGTGTGGGAATGTTGAATGCAGTAAATTACTACATTCAACAACTTTATGAAAATACAATTTAAAAAAAATTACAAAAATGTAGACACAGCCTGTTACTGAGCTTTCCTTATGGAAAATCCCCCGAGTTACTGAAAAATGCCTTTAAAATGGCAAATGTGAAGGTAAGTTAACCTACTCGGCTTCTAAACTTCCTTGTCCACAAAAAGGCACTTATCGCTCTCACTTTGTAGTCTCAGTCTCTCACTGAAATGAAAGAACAAGGAATCTGATGAGTCATCTATGGGGTATAGCCTATGGGGGGACTGCACCAAAGTGATGACTTTCAAGCTTCCTCTTTTCAAGAAGTTAGTTCAGTTAACCCAGGTGCAGTGATATGTAATATTATCAGTAATATTTTTATTAAAGTTTAATAATTCATAAGAGTTCTGAAACTTAAGTCAAAGAAAGCCTTTTTAAGCTCAATTTCTTCCACGATGTCCTGGTAAAAAAAATGCAAAAATTTTTTCTTCCAAATTATGTTTACTGGAAAACTTCTTATTAATGTCCAAGGAATAAAAAAGCTAAAATGAAAGTATTTTGGAAAACATCTTTCAAAATTGAGGGAAGTCAGCGGTAGTTTGAGGAAAAATTTTTAATAAACTCTAATCTTATAGAGAGCAAATCATTTTGAAAATCTGTAGCCCACCTATAGTAATCTAATATGCTCATTTGAACATTCTATATGCATTCCTAATATACCATTCCCCACTCTACTAAACACAAATGGGGGTGGGGGTGGAAATCAAGGTTTCCATGGGCACCTCCAGACAACTGGAGACTCTGTGACTCTATAGATTTAAAAGGAAGAGCCATCAGCAATCAATAGTGCAAATCATACTCGGCATAATTCTCCAAATAAAAAAGTCAGCAGAAGCAAGCATATTTTATAGGACTTTTTAGTGGACAAACTTGCAGGCTATCGAATGTAGCCTGCACACAGGGCAGAGTCTGGCAAACTCCCCGTGGCGTACCCAATATGCCAAATACCAGTAACAATGATGGGTCTCATTCTCCTAAAGAGCCTTGAATATAATCTCAGGGCTAGGATAAAAGAGACGTTACTGGGGCCTGCTCGAGGCAATCGACGAATAACAGGATGATGAATGAAATGAATTAGTGCAATAACTTACCAACATTCAACAACACATTTTTAGACTCACAAGCCTTAATGTTTCACTCACTGAGAACAAGATGCGCTTCTGACATACTCGAAGCATAGGACCAAGCAATGTCTGCCACGGGCAGGCGTGGAATAAACACTTGGCGGACAACTGCTCATTAATAACACTTGCTACTATTTATACTCAGGCTGTTACTTGGGGGAATTTTAAAACAGAAAAGGGGTAAATATTATTTCCAAAGCAATGCTATTAAGCGTTGTTGAAATAAGATTAATTTCCATCGGTAACATAATAAAAGCCTGCTTTGCATCTGCGTGGAGACCAGGAAACGCAGGGATAGGACAGGGGAACAGGGCTGACTTACCATATATATGAAAAGAGGCACAATGCTCTGCAATGCTCCCATATATTGTCCAAGAGCTATATTAAATCTTTCAATATAAAGATCTGGAGGGCTGGCCTGTGGGAAAGAATATCAACGTGATCACTCTGAGAGACAAAGAACGAAGACCACCACAATCCAAAATGCTAACAGATCCCAAAATTCCTCCTCAAATTCACAAAAAATGTGGAAGAGGTTTGTGGCCTCTTGTTTAGATTCCTTCCCCCCCCCAGCCCCCCAACCACCAAATATCTGTACAAATCATATTAGTGAGTGTAGTATGTTCAAGAGAAAACACAGGCTTGGACCCCATAAAGTAAAAGGAATTACATGTCCCGAGTTGAGAAGCTGATGACTCACTCAGTCAGAATGGGGATGAGCTGGAGTATTTGTTTGTTTGTTTGTTTGTTTGTTTTGGGGGGGGGAATGGTCACACCCAGAGATGCTCAGGGACTAACTCCTGGCTCTGCACTCAGGAACCACTCCTGGTAGTGCTCAAGAAGCCATATGGGATAACCAGAGATTGAACCTGGGTCAGCCGTGCACCACTGTTTTTCTTAAGGCTCATCCTCTTAGTGAGTAAAAAAGATGTTGCATTCACAGTCAGGAAAAATAATATGAGTTTAAAATTATCACTGAATTGCTGTGCCTGGATGGGTAAGAAAGATTGAAGGAAGTGGTACAGGCTTACTATGCCATTAGAATGCCTACTGGGTTCTTTTTTGTGTGCATGATTTCCTTTAACTACAGCAATATTCTGAGCTCTGTATTAATTTGGTTGTGAACCACATCTACAGTTAATTACAGACATTATTATCGAGGATGCAGGTACTGAAATAAACTCTATGTGCCTGCAATTCTGAAGAGCAGTAAATTAAATATAATACAGGCCTAGCATGTAATTCATTGTTACTAAAGACCGAGTCTTAAAGACAGCGGAAAAATACCTGCAGTTTCACTGTGTGTTATGAGGTGAATGTTTGTGTCTCCCCCAGATGTCTATGTTGAATCCTCAAGTTCCAGTATTTGAAATAAGGAAGTAATTAGGGCTGCAGGTGGTCAGAGTGAGGACCTGGACCTGGAGGATTTGTGTTCTCCTGAGAAGAGATGGAGTGTCACTCTACCCCTCTCCACGAAGAGTAAAGGTCACATGAGCCACTGAAGCTTGGCTTGACACAGCCAGAAAAGGTCCCATCAGGCATAAGATCAGCTAGAGCAAATCCATTTCTGTTGCTTAAATCTCCCAGTTTGTGGCATTTTGTTATAGCCAAGTGGACTAAGACACTGTGTTTTAAAAAGGCATAGACCCAGCTACACATCGAAACCTTTACTCGCTCTGCCACGCTCCCAGGCAAAAGTAATCTCTGCTGACCTTGCTGGGACCTTTCATGAACCAAGATGGACCTTCCGGCGAGGACCTAGCAGTCTTCCTGCCTGACCTCTGCCCTATCAACAGTCTCAGCTCCAGAGCTCCTGAAACATGCAGCCTCCTCACCCACTACATCTTACACTAGTCACAGTTACACTTCCTGTCAATAAGTGGAGACAGCAGGGAAGGAAGAGAGCAACTCCCAGCCTAAATACAAAGATTCACCCACAGTACAGCAACCCCTGGGGGAGATGGGCAGAAGCCCACCAAGCTCAAGGAGTGGGGCAGTGACATGGAAGACTCTAGCACCAATCAGCACTAGAATCTCAGGCGACTGCAGTGACACCATGTTGAGGATGTTTAGTGGGCTCAAAGAAACAGACTGCCAGCAAAGCACAAGAAAGTAACAGTCGAAAAGGAGAAAACTGCAATCAGAAATGACAGAAATGAAGAGTAGAATAGGTGATATAAAATGAACTAAAGAGAACATCTGTGCAGCAGAACAGCAGCAGCTGAGGAAAAGATCGGAAACTTCGAGATGAGATGCAGGAAACCTCTAGGAACCAATCTGAGAACAAACTTGAATCTGTATTTATGCAAGGCTGAGTCCCTGACTGGAGTCATTGCCCCAGTCCCTCTACTTTCATAAGAAAGTCAAAGCACATCACAATGTATACTCATTACATTTTATATACTCCTTTCTAATAAATTATCTTTATGAGAGAAAAAAAAAGCAGCCAGGTACTGTTTCAGTTTATTTTACGAAGGAAAATTAGCATTCTAACATTGAACACAAAAACAGGCAAATAATTTGCCTGTGGAGTGCCAGGAAATGATATATCAAAACACGCAAACAAAACTGACTCTATAGAAGTCTTTCTACTATCTTATAAAAATCTGACTTTCAAACAAAGATATTCAGAAGTGGCACACAGAAAATTCCCAAATATTAAATAGGAGCAATTATAAAACCAACCCTTCTGGCTAAGCTGTTTTAGAAATGTTGACATGTACCAATATTATGTTGAAATTCTATTTCCCATGTTCTTCGGTTCTTCTCAGAAGCGTGGGGTAGGCGTGGGGGGCTGTCCTTACTTCTGATTCTCCCATCACTGTGTCTGCTCAGGCTGGGTGCACACTGGGTGCTTCTTTCCTTTGTCTTGTCTAAAGGGGATTTTTTTTTTAATTTATGAGGCATCTGGGCTCAGAAATTGTCCCTTGATTACACTTCTATAGATAATAAATCCGCGGCTTAAAACTCAAACCTGGATAAGTCCAAGTCCTCGAGCATTCTAAAACCTGAGAACAGTGCCAACTCCCAGTAGAGGCATTCTGTTCCCTTCTCTGGGCTCACATCCAGTTCCTTCAGACATGTGGTCCAGCTCAGAGGTCGAAGGGGACCACAGTTCCCAAAGGCCACCATGGGGTTTTGGGATTCCTTATCTGCTCTACCTGAACACCTTCATCCCAACTCCCCAATGATTCAGGCTAGGTACTTTCTATATGCCTTCAGAAGCTGCCACTTTCTCAAAACCTCTATTCTTGGCACAGAGCATGCCCGATTCATCTCTCCAATCAATGCAAGTCCACAGAGGACATCATCTCTATGTACTGCCTTTCTATATCTAGAAGTGTCCACAAATCCTGAATAGGTATAGATAAATGCATATCTCTCTCTCTCTCTCTCTCTCTCTCTCGTCCTGTTTAGATTTAAATACTATCTAAACTAGTTTAACTCTAAACTATTATTTCACTATTTATTAAACAAGGCAGCATGACATTAGGCAATTCATTTGGCCCTCTGAATTTCAATTTCCACACATATAAAATGGGAAAATTACTAATTATGCTACTTCTAGGATGTGCTAAGAATCCGAGAAAATAAGTTATAATGGTTTGAAAAATGTCAAGTAGTATACATGTACTTCCAACTAGGGAGAGTAAGTACACTCTTTTCTAAAATAATTACCCATTTGCTTAGTACTTCTGAAGGCCCATTAACATAATTAAAGAAATTTCCAATTAATGAAATTCATGATAGTGGTTGTATATTATAAATAAATTTTTAGCTATGACTAATGAATAGATCACACCTAATATTTTTCTCCAAAGTTTCAGAGAACCCTGGAAATGATATTTTAGTATTCAAAGAAACACATTCTTAGAACTAAAAAAAAAAAAAATTCACAGAACTTTTTGCATAAAACCAATTTTCCCTTTTCATAAAAGAACACTTTACTCAAAAAGTAAAAAGCACGGATGATCAAAAAGCACATTTACTAGCAGAGATAATAAATAAAATTTAATTTATTAGTTACTCTTCAAGAGTACCCAACGTCGCAAAGGTTATGAATAGTCAAAGTACTTTTTGTACTAAATCAAATGTCTGAGCGTTTACTTGGCTGTCTCACTTCCCCATTTCATGCAGCACTTATTCAAAACCTTTTAAATAAAACCAGTCTTATTACTAGGAAACTCACACTCATTGCCATTTTAAAAAACAACAAATCAAACCACTCTTCCTTCAGATTTAAGTTCAGTACACTTTGAGTCCCACCAGGGAAATTGCTCCCTATTTGATTTACATTAGTTCAACATGGATGTATTTGACTTGGTACAGCAAATGGAATTTTTCACCCTTAAAACAAACAAGCTTCATTTTATTCTCAAACAAAACATGAAAAACGCAAGTCGCCAGAAGAAATATCCATTATTCTAAACTTACTTTAACTTTTCATTGGAGAACTAAAGTTCCCTGAAATCTGTAGTAAAGCTGAAGGGAATATTTTGATTTTTTTTTTAAAGGGAGAATGCAGTCATCCAGTCTAAAATATGAATGAGAGAAGGGGACACTGGTGACAGGATAGGTGTTGGAACATTGTATGCCTGAAAGACTCTACATTAGCGACTTTGTTATTAATCACAGTATCTTAAAAAAAAAAGGATGAGTTCAAAGGTTTTTAAAGAATTTACCCTCCTTCTGCTCCTTTCTCAGGGCCAATTTCTATCATATTCTAGAAGAACTTTATTTACAAGAAAGTAAGTATCCTATTAATAACTCTTTGCGGGCAAGCTACCAAGAGTATTCGATATGCCAAACACAGTAACAACAAAGTCTCCAATGGAGACGTTACTGGGCCCGCTCGAGCAAATCGACGATCAACGGGAGGGCCTTTACCTTTTACCTTTATTTATCAGTGCTTTTCCTAATGACTCATCTTTTTTGGAGGGAGGGGGATGCTCCCAGGAGTATGCCGCCACCCTGACTAGCAATTGGTCCTGTGCTAAGGTCCCAAGATGCGATGCTGCTCCAGCCCTGGGTGCCATGTTCAGGCTTAGCAGGTGACGTGTGAGGGCCTGGACTCCAGTCAGGTGTGACTTAAGTCCCACTAGGTTCATGGTCCCCTCACAACAAATCCTGAGACTAATTCCAATGGCTCTCAGAGACTTTAATTCTAGTGGTTCTCAAACACTGGTCCAGGAACCCTTATATTATTGAAAAGAGCTGAAGAGTCAAAAGTTTTTCTCCACATTGTTGGTTCTATCAATCTGTATTCGACAGATTAGAAAATAAATCTGGGCCAAGAAACACATAAGTTCAATTTAAAAGTAGCAGTATTATATTTGAACATATTTTAACATTAAATGTGATATCGTTTATATCATAAATGAGTTACTTATAGTGTTTGCAAGAGTCCAGCTGGGACCC